GCACTTAATTTTACTGCCATTCTGTTTTAAACCTTCTGCAGTCAGGCACACACCCTCACCACTTGGTAAGAATTTGTTTTGTCAAGGTCATTTTTGACATCTGTATTCTAAATAAAACAATGGTCAGTTCAAGTCAGCATCTTCCCAGATTAGCAGCAGCATTTTACAAGGCTGACCCCCTCTTACTACTTGATACATTTACTTTCCTCCAAGTCACAAAACTCCATGACTCTCTAGCTGCTGCTTCTCAGATGCCTTTGTAGGTACCTGACGGCTCAGTTCTTCAATTGCTTCTTTTTAATATCTACAACCATTCCCTTAGTGATTCCATCCAATCTCAAAGTTCTAAATATCACCCGTATTTTGACAATTCCAATATGAACATTTCCAGCTCAGCTTTCTTCCCCAAACTCCAAAAACATCTTTATCTCAAATTTAGTATATCCAAACTCAACTTCTGATTTTCCCTCTTTAATGTCTTCTTCCTGTAGCTTTCTCCAGCTTAGTTAAAGGTAACTTTGTCCTCATAGTTACTTAGAATATAAGGCTCAGAATCATCCTTTTCCTCCTGTCTTTCACATCTATATTCAAAATTCATAAGCAAATATTTGAAGTTCTACTTTCAGAGTTCATCTGAATCTTACCATTTCATCTCAATTCCACTAACACCTTGGTGCAGTGCACATACTGCAAGGATTTCTCAGTCTAAAACACTGAAATATCCTAACTGGTCTTCCTATTCCACCACAGAAATAACCCCTCTATGGTTTATTCTCAACATAGCAGCTACAGTGATCCTTTCAAAATGTTTAAAAGATCAAGACATTTATTTACTTAAAACATCACATTCCAAAGCCAAACCTTTACAAAGGCTGCAAAATCTTACATGAACTATAGGGCCACCTCCAAACTCTTATTACGTTTATGAACTCGTCTCTTTTTTTTTTTCTTTTAAGAGAGAGAGAGAGAATTTTTAATATTTATTTATTTATTTTTTTAGTTTTGGGCGGACACAACATCTTTGTATGTGGTGCTGAGGATCGAACCCGGGCCGCACGTATGCCAGGCGAGCGCGCTACTGCTTGAGCCACATCCCCAGCCCCATGAACTCATCTCTTGCTACTCTCATTTGCTCACTAGCCTCCAGCTACTACACTGGCTTCTGTGCTATTACTAGAGCTTCTCACACATGTAAATAATTCCCTTCAAGTCTCTGTGCAAATTCACCTTCTCAGTGTGGCCTACACTGACCATCCTGTTGAAAATTACAACACATTCTCAAATTTCCTGCCTTACCAAATTTTCTCTCCTGTGCTATTTTCTTTATCCTCAGTTTATCACCTTATTTGGTATTTTTTAATTGGTTCTTCGGAAGTTATACTTGAAAGTAGAATCAATTTTGATAAAATTATACAAGTATATATATCTTATTGTAATTATGGGTGAACACAATGGTGGGATTCACTTAGGTATTTTCATGAGTACATAGGAAAATTATGTTAGATTTATTCTACTGTCTTTTCCTATTTCTATCCCCCCTCCCTTCCCTTCATTCCCTTTGTCTAATCTATGGAACTTCTCTTCTTCCCCTCCCCCACTTTATTGTGGTTTAACTTCCACTATCAGTGAAAACATTTGCTCTTTGGTTTTTTGGGATTGGCTTATCATGGTGTCTCCTTCTACAAGAATGTAAGTACCCCCTCACCTTTTATGATGTATTATATCACCTTTTATGATGAAAAATTATTGTATTATACCAATAAATGGAACTGTGCTAACAAATTTTCTAGGTAGTTCCACCTGGGGAGAACATTTGAGTAGCAAAGTTACAAGGAAGAATCTGAATTTTGTAAGACAAGGTAAACCTGCATAATAAACAAATGAACTGCACATTCCCCCAACCCCCACCCCTGCTGACTTTTGTTGTCATGTAAACTACATATGGATTAACACTGCTTCATCTATTTTGCCTGATGCCATCATTATATGGAAGGAACCCCTGGAATAAGCAAGTTAGACAAGAACTTGTGCCTGACTTATCAAAAATCTGATACTACTGAATTTTTTTAAGATATTCTAGTCCCTGAATTATATTTCTTTATGTCAGGGTTTGTTGTTGGGGCTTCTCTTCCCAGCTGTTAGTTTTCGTTAATGTCTGATAGTGCTTGGAAATCCGTATTTAGGAAACTTCATGAAGTTGCCAATGGCTGACAAAGTTTCCTCGGTGTGTCTGCTTCAGATCTCCTCTTTGCACAGGAGTTAGGGTTCTGGGGAAGTATGTGGTTGACAAATCAGAAGTTATTGTTCTCTACAAAGGGCAAAGTAAAAAGGCCTTACTATGGAACTGAAGTGCTGCTTTTTTCACTTCTCCACCCACTCACTCAGCCTTCCTATCACAACCCCATACCTTCCCTAGGAGCTCTCCAGGAACAATCCTTTTCTTCAAGAGTGGTTCTTAGTCCTCAGCCTGAAGAAAAGTTACTTCTGTCAACTATTTACCTGGGAAGAGAAAAGAGCAGGGGTTCCCAGTGCAATTCTTCTATGAATTAACATGATTAAACTATGGCAAATTCCTTCCCCCATTATAAGCCTCAAAGCTTCTGCAGGATATCTTGGCTATGGTTTTTCTCTTAACTTCTCAGTCCAATCTCTTCCACTTGATACCCTGCTGGAATGTCTCAAAACTGCTGGCTTTTGTTTTCTAGCACTTTCATGTTTTCATTCTTATTTTCTATCATTTCCTTGGGATTAAGAAAGAAGAAAACAATCATAACTTTACTATATTCAATCTATCTGAATTTAAAATGTCAACATTAACAGAAAGAATATAAAAACTTTAGAGACCTACTCTATAGTAAGAAACTGATATTTGTTTATTTTGTTTGGCAATGATATAATTTTCCCTAGTGTTTGTTTTGTTGGTACCAGGAATTAAATCCAGGGATGCACAACCACTAAGCCATATCCCTAGCCCCTTTCATTTTTAGACATGGTCTTGCTAAGTTGCTTAGGGCCTCACTAAATTACAGAAGCTGACTTTGCGTTTTGAGATCCTCCCACCTCTGCCTCCCAAGCCGCTGGGACTACAGACCATGTACCACAGAACATGCCTAGTGTATTCCTTCAATTGCTCAACAAAACTCTATTTCAAAACAATAACCCCAAGAATGTATAATTTGGTCAGGGGGTGCTGGGGATTCAACCCAGGGCCTTAACCGATGAGCCACAGCACCAGCTCATTTTTTATATTTTATTTAGAGACAGGGTTTTGCCAAGTTGCTTAGGGCCTTGCAAAATTGCTGAGACTGGCTTTGAACTCAATCCTCCTACCTCAGCCTCCTGAGTTCCTGAGATTACAGACATGCACCATCATGCCTGGCACAAACTCTTAATTGAATTTGAGAGATCTGAATTTGTATGAACTTAATATCATCTATGTCTATCATATTCCTATAGCATTCAAGACACTTGAATGTTTAAGGAAAAGATAAAAGTCATATGAAAATTACTATTTTACTCAGGGTAGGGACTTTGATAAGACTTCATTTGTGAAGGAAGTATACATTACACTACTCTATTGTCATTTCCTCATAGTTTTCCATTTTCTATTTGTACATTCAATCTGTACAAACCAGAAAACCATTTATTCAAGAAATTTATGATTATTAGTCTAATTTCCAATTGCTTATATACCAAACTACACACACACACACACATACACACACAATTACCCAAGTATCTTTCTTGATATTTTATCTAAAGTTTCTATGATTCAGGGTCAATTTTTCCTTGGAAAAAAGTTATGCCAAACAGTCAAAAGTCAAGTCATAAATACTCAGAATGAAGAAAAGAACGAAAATCAGAAAATCAGGCCTTGGAGAAAAAAAGGGACACATACTAACAATACAAAAATAATACATCCTTAAAGTTAATACTGATTTGAAAATCAGACCTCCGTCAAATGTTTCCTCTGATATGTGAAAGCTAACCCACAATAAGGGGGTGGGGATAGAAGTTCAGTAGATTTGACAATGGGGAATATGAAGGGAAGGAAAGGGGGGTAGGAAAAAGAAAGACAGTGGAATGAATTGTTCGTATGTATATATATAAAACATGACAGTGAATCCCACCATTGTATACATCCACAATGGGATGCTTTATTCTATCAAAACGGATTCTATTGTCATTGTAAAAAAAAATAAAATTTTTAAATTTAAAAAAAAAAAAATTGAAAATGAGACCTCCACCCTTTTCTGCAGCATTCATTCTGTTTTATAGGCTATTTATGAGCCTCAACCCCAAATTCAAGATATGGCTATTTTTTTATTATCAAACAAAAAAAGTTAAGGCTCAGTGATACAGTGCTTGCCTAGCATGTTTGACACACTGGGTTTGATCCTCAGCACCACATAAAAATAAATAAATAAAGGTATTGTGTCCATCTACAACTAAAAAAAAAATTTTAAAAAACCCAAAATACTAGGTATAACATTCAAGAAAAAAGTAAGGAACACAAACATAATAAATTAATTTTCTTAACAATTCTCAAAATTAAGGGCTGGGGATATAGCTCAGTGTTAAAGCACCTGCCTAGCATGCCCTGAGTTCAACCCCCCACACTGTGAAATGGAAAAAGAAAAAGAAAAAAAATTCCTCAAATTAAAGGTAATTAACAATTACAGTTTTTTGCAGTCTCTGCTTTTTCCCAACCAGGCCTAAAGAAGAAAAAATTGGTGGCAGAACACTTGTTGGGAAAGCAAATAGGCCAAAACTATTGTAAATAAAATTTTCAAGCCACCAAAATTTGGGAGAGAAGGAAAAGAAAACAGCAAATTATCAAATGACAATAAAACAAGATCCTATCAGAGTTTTCGGGTTAGACAAAAGTAACTTCATGGGGAATACACCCTACAATCTGCATATGTCCCATTGCTTATATACATCCTTTATACCTCCAGAAGTACATAATAAACTTTGAACAATAAAATGACAACAGAGAATATTGGGTTGTAAATATTTATATTTCTTGTACTCACACAAAATGCTGTATGAGACATTACTAGTTTTAATAAGTATCCATAGGATTAATACTCATATGGAGTATAATGTGAAAAAGTGCAGAACTAAAGAAATAAATCTATCTGAAAACAAAAGCACACATTTCTTAGGATTTAAAAATATTGCACATAATAAGGTTGCACAGAAATTACTGGCTGGGTTTACAAACAGAATGAGGTATTAGTCAATCTCTAGATAAAAGTAAATGCAAAGAGGAAGAACTACACACACACAAAAAAAATACACATAAATTCATATTAAGACCTAGAGTACCAACAACTAAGAAAGAAATGTAAAAAGATGTATAAGTAGCTATGATTTCAACCCTACAAAATCATTAGCTAGGGACTAAACACATAACAGTCTCTTGGCAATGTTTCATAAGTTTTCAATTTTTTTTCCAGCTTAACTAAGAGCAGTATAATAATTTCTCTTACCTCAATTCTATAATAGAAAGACACAGTTCTGTGGTAAATATCAAACCATCCCTTTCTAAAGCTTTCAGTGGCAATTAACCAAGATACTGCTCTCCTTTGCTGAATAAATTAGTTCACATACATTTAGCAACCCAATTCAGATGCTACAGAGCATGCAATTTTAAATTAGCAAAGGCTTCACTGCAAAAATCATTCAACTTCACACAATTATAACTTTTAAAGTTTAATCCTGATGTATCAAGCAAACTCAATCTTTTTTTTTGGTGGGGGAAGGGGATGATAAAACTGGCCACGTTACTGAACCCAAGGGCAGGTAGAAAGGAAAAAATAATAATAATAATAAAACCCAGGCAGATTTATATCTCACTTTAAAGAACCTTTCCTAATCAGAAAAATTAATAATTAGATTTTTGTCTACTAGCTGAATGTTGCTGAATTCTTCAAAAACAATTTAAATATATGTAATAGCTATGTCAAATTGTTTAAAGTAAGTGAAATCATGCACTTGTCAAAATAGTTCACAGAAAACTGTTTTACATCAAAGATACTGATGAAGAGTCAACTAGGTGGGTTTAGTGAGAAAAGAAAAAGAACCAACTATTGTCCTGAACAATCAGTGTACGTAGTAACCATATTTCCTCTTCGTTGAGTGACAGTCCTGCAGTGCTTGCTAGAGCCATGAAATCTATTTTCAGTCTGTACTGTATGTCGATTGCTGGTATCAAAGCCACTAAAAGAAAACATTTTCTCCATATCTTCAAACATGTCATCAAACAATCCACCTCCAAAAGAAAATTCCTGAAAATGATGCCTTTGTCGACTAGAACCATCCTGGCGTGTCTGGAAATGATTTTCAAAATGCTTCTTAGACCGAGTGTTTTGGTTTTGACCAAAAAAACTAAAGTCTTTAAACAAATCATCAAAATTGAAGTTAAACGACTGCTCAAAAGGACTTCCACTGCTTCTTTGTCCTTTACCATTAGTAAAAGCACTGTGTCCAAGGGTATCATACTCTTTTCGTCTACTAGCATCTGAGAGTGTTTCATATGCTGAAAGAGATAAATTACATATATTCAAACTTCTTCAAATGTGATTTCAACTCTATATTTTAGGGAAGGAGGTCATATCACAAGTAAAAGCAAAGCCCTACAAACATTAAATGAATAACCAATATCAGTTAAATGAATGCTACCATTACCAAAAAGAAATTTGTTGACAACAATTACAAAGTTCTAAGAAATTTGATTTTTCACTTCCTTACTACTTAATGAAAAAGTTTAATTCCAACTCCCTAATCAGTTACCATCAACTCTTGAATATTCACAAAGTGCAATTTATTTTAGAACTAGTCTTAAGTTAAAATGTTTTTCATACTTTTCCTTTAAAGACAAATGGGTTTTGAAATACAGATTAAATGAAGAAAATGTCAGAGACTATATTAGGTTTTTTATACTTAATCTACATACTTAATATTCTGTTTCATAAATCAGTTGCAAGAATTCCTTTTTATGTAGAAACAGCAGTGATTTTACAAATAATAATAAAATAATATTTTCAATATTTTAAGATCTGAATGTCTATTCATTCATTCATGAACCAAAGTATTATCTGTTATGAAAAAAAGTCTCACAATCTCACTATATTTATATGTAAATTCCTCACTTGTGTGTCCTCCCATCTCCATGAAACCTTCAAATACCTAGACTTCTTAGCATTCTCTTTACTGGTTAATACCCATGAGACATAAGGAAAATCATTTATTTACCTTCTGCAATCTCTCTGAATTTTGCTTCAGCATCAGGACTCTTATTTTTGTCAGGATGGTACTTCATGGCCAATTTGTGAAAAGCCTTCTTGATTTGACGCTCTGATGCTGACTTTGGCACACCTAAGATATCATAGTAGCTTTTTGAGGCCAAAATTAACTCCGTTATCATTAAAATGCAGATTGCAAAGATGAAAACTGACTGGGGAGTAGCCATTTCTAATATCCTAAAAGAGAAAGGGGGAAAAAAATTTACCCATGGAACTAATCTTAACACTTTTTTAAAAAGAAACCCAATGAACTTTTATATATGAAGTACACAATGCAGCACAAAAATGTTCAGCAAATACTATCTTGTACATTCTATTGTATTGGTAGTGTTAGTATTTGTGACACTGCATCTCTATTTCCAGTCTGGCTTACCTGCTGAAGTGAATGCTGACTGTTGCTTTCTTAGGGAAGGAAGAATTCTACTATTTAGATATCCTGGGCTATTTACACTGGTAATGCACTGTTCCCCCTGTGAAGTTAAATACATTATTTTCTTTTCAGAATACAAATTCTTGAAAGGAAGACAGGGATCTTTTAAATTATTTTTGCATTTTTTTCTTTAATTTTTGTTATGCTTGTATATATGATGGGTCTTCAATAATATCTAGTAAAAATCAGTGATTAAAAGTTTTGTGTATCCTCTGTGTTTGACTCAAGTATGAGTGGAATGGCAAAACCAAGAAAGATGTTTCTCAATTTGGTTGACTTCTACTTGTTCTTTAAAAGGTCAACACAATTTGTAAGTTATAAAACCTGTACAAATGCAAGATCCCAAATGTTCAACAAAGAAATATGGACAAATAAGTTCTGTTTAAATTTACTCCTATTTAAGAATTCTATTAAGGCTGTCAGAAAATATGAAGTGATTTGATGGGTACTTTAAAGCAGATTCTTATTTTCAAACTTCTAAGTAAATTAAAATATTTATCTTAACTTTAAATTACAACTTAAGAATTCCTGATAATATATACTTAATGATTTTGAGATTCAAAACGAAGTGATCCTGTTTTTTTAATGCTGTACCATAGAAATCCTTAATAACCTATGATGACCTAACAAGGCTGACGAAAAGGCATTATGGTTTGTTGAAACTGCCTGCCTTCCTCTCCTGTGGCCTTTCCTGGGAATAGTCAGCAGGTGTATTACTTTTTTTTTTTTCCCCAGAGCGTTACTCATAGTCACGGGTACCAAGGATCAAGTACAAATCCTGGTGTAGAGAACATGTCCAGTGGACACCGCATCCAAGGCGGGCTGCTCCAGATTCCAAGGGCGGGTCTAACCACTGACAGGCACCTCGATGGCTAATAAACGTTACTCCAAGGTTTCAAGTTGAACATCTGATAATTTTTTAGTAAACTAACTTTTCCATTAAGCTGATTTCTCATTCGGACCCGCTGGACAGCGGCCTGGGCCTTACTTCCCAGTGCCAGCGGTTGGACCATCCAACCCTCATCACAAGGCAACCAGCCCTGTCCGTCCAAACCCCACCATCAGGGCTCCCTGAGGCTCGGGGCCCAGTCCAGCGAGAAGCTGTCTGGAAAGCCAACGACACAACCCAACACACAGAACACTCTGTTTTGTGGTTTGGTCATCTCTTGATGTTTCCTTCGCCAAGAACCCGCAGCCCGAAACCCTTGCGGCGACCCGACAGACATGGAGGCCAATATTGCCCCAAACAAGAAGCCACTGTTCCGGGAACGCTCCAAATCCCACTCCCAGCGACTCCCGGCCTCGTCCCTCACCCGCACTCTCCAGTTACGGCTCCTCCTCCACAGAGCCGAGGCGCCGGTGACGCTCACGAACCGCTCCGTTCGGTTGCTGGGGCTCGGCCCCTCACCCCAGCTTCCGCGGCCTCCTGGAGCCGGCCCGTGCCCCACTGCCTCCGGCACAATCACCTCTCGCTCCCCGCACCGCCTAAGCCACTGCGTCCCCTCTCAGCCCGCTCCCAACTGGCGGGCGACTGCTGCTGGAGACACCGCCTCAGGAGAAGACCTACACGAAACGCTTCCCCATTGGCTCCCACCTACCCACCTGATCCTGGCGCCCTACGCGCACGTGGAAAACTGTTGTTGCCGCTCAGCCTGTGCGTCACTTCCTGCCCCACCCCTTCGAAGGGCCGTACTGAAGCATGAGGAGGCGGAAGTGAGTCGACATTTCCTACGTCTTTCCCCGGGGCGAACCTCTGCGCAGGCGCGGTGGCTTAGGCTGCTGGACCAGCAGCCCCGCCTCAGGAAGAAGGGCCCGCCTGCGCCCCTCGCTGGTCCCGGTCTTCCGGGACCTTACCCGAGTGATGCCCCGCTATTGCGCAGCGATTTGCTGTAAAAACCGCCGAGGACCGAACAATAAAGACCGGAAGCTGAGCTTTTACCCGTGAGTAGTCCCTTGGGCAGAAGCGTTAGCGTTAGCGTTAGGCCGTGGTCCTGTAGCCTTTGGAGCCAGGACCTGGGTGTCTCCTATGAGTTTTTCAGCTGCTTGAGCGTAGTGGTCATCGCGCAAGAGGAGTGTTCAGTGTATATCTTGAGGGGCCTGTTGGTGCTCAACAAAGGAGTTAAAACAGTGAATCTTGAGAGATGCTCGATGATTTTTCAGAACTTTTACTCCACTTTACCTGACCTCATTTCCTGAAATACATTTACCACCTTTTAGGGTACATCAAACCTGCTAGGTGGGAAGGTGCGCCCAAAGTTAATTTGCACTCCCTGTGAGGTCGCACAGGTGTAATTTAAATCCATTTTTTTTTTCCTCCTGAGAAACTTGATCAGGAAAGACGACCTTGAAAGTTTGGTGTCAAAGCTGGAGTTATGACCTGTGTCCTTTTCAGAGATGTGTATGCAGTTCATGAATAGAACAGGATAAACGTTACTCTGAATGACTAGGACCCCGAATTATTTCCGTGAAATTATAGAATACTGATTTCCATGCAGAACAGGGAAGCAGTGTTGTGTAAAGAGTCCCAGGCTCCAAAGCCGTATTTTTACTAAATTAAAAAATCCTGGTTCCTTTACTTGTAGCTGAATGACAAGTAATTTAGACTGTCAGTGCTCAGCTCTCTCATTTGTAAAATGGAGAAATTAGTGGAACTTACTCACGCTTACTTTGCAGGAGGTACCTGCTTAATGTGTATAAAAAGCCTGTGAAAATCAACATGTTTAAAATATTCTATTTCCTTTTTTCTTGTATTTAAAAATAATTTTTTAGAGCTGATCTCGTTGTCTCTTATTTTCACCAGATGTATTGTGAATCCCATTTTCCTTTAGACCAAAAGCTATCATTCACTAATGGTTCAGCTGCTTTCCATCATCTGAAGTATTGAGGGGAAAAAAATTGATAACTTTAAGTCATTCATACTACATGACAATATATCCAGTATTATCTCCTTGGATCCCTTCCACAGAGGTAGTTATTTTGGAAGTAAAAAATCTAATCCATTGTCAGTTGAAAAGCAGATGCTACTATATTAATGGTTCTGAGATTTGTAGTAAAAGATCATGTTAAACTAATATTTCCCAGGTTTATTTGGCCTTTGATTTGGGAGGCATAATCCTGCACTAATCAATTGTTTAACCTATATGGATCTCAAAGTTACTATATTTAAGGAGGAAAAACAAATTCCAAATGAATTATAAAGATCGTTTGTAAAGACTTTTTCCTCAAAATGTGAATCAAAAGTGAGATTTTTAAAAATTGGGGTTTTTTTATAAGTTACCTGTGTAATCCACACACACAAAAAAAAATTCAGTTTTATTCCATAATAGCACCAAACTACCAAACTTGAAGACTTGAATTTGCTCATCCTCACATTATAGCAAGCTGTAGTATATAAGTTTATATGAATGGTAATTCAGTAAATAGAGGCATACAATGTCCAATTTATACTGTGATTTTTATATGTACTGGGGGGATTACATAAAATAAACAAAATTACCAGACAAATTAAACAAGTATGAAGCTACTCAGTTATTCAGGAAACATGTCCTAAGAGATTTCTTAAAGATTTATTTGTTGAGGAATTACTGCATTGCAGTTAGTAATTAGAATAGTCACAAAATGTTATTTTTTTAATGGTTTGCTAACTTACCCTATAGATACAATGGAAATAATTTGGAAACAGCATCCTTACATAAGAATTATATGAGAAAGCATTATTTTAAAAGGCTTCTTCTCATTTTAGACATACCAAAAGGTTGAACTTATTCTTTTTACCTTTAAATGCTTTTTCTGGTTATGCCTATCATATTTCTAAATCTAAGTGTCATATGCAAGCTTAGAATATTTTAAAACATATGAATATTGTTTTTATGGTAGTATCTTCCAAAGATCATTTAATTTTTTTTTCCACATAGGATATCAGAATTAAAAATTATTTCCTACAAAATACCCAGACTCTCTTCCCCTAGGATCTTATAAACTTAGCAGAATTTAGGAAGGAGAAAAAAATTCTGTTTACTATAAAGCATAAACTAAGTAGTTGGGATGAGAGGGCATGTAGGATAGCTACATTTTGTATGAGAAACCCATATTGTTACTATTTTTTTAAATAGGAAACTATCATTTAGAACATGCCTAGGAAAATCATTAAATGAGATATATGTCACTGTAAACTTCTGTTTAGAACACTTTAACGCAAACATTTAAACTGGTTGGAAGTTTGTTTGTTTGTTTAAAGAGAGAGAGAGAGTCTTTTTTGTAGATGGACACAACACAATGTCTTTATTTTTATGTGGTGCTGAGAATCAAACCGCGTTGCTAGGCGAGCTCTCTACCACTGAGCCACAATCCCAGCCCTAGTTGGAAATTTTTTCCTACCAAATTCTGCCATTGTCCAGTTTTGCCTTTAAAACAAACTTTAATATGTTAAAGCCAACTCTAAACCCAGGTTATTGTCAATAAAGGAACAAAATGTATGGAGAACTATCTTGCCTTTCTCTCTTTTATATCTTATTTCTTTCAAATAAAATATCCAAGTTTGTCTTTATTAACATGTTTAGTTCTTTTTTAGCTTCAGAGTTCCTTTTTTAGAACTTGAATTTTAGAGTTCCCAGTAAGTAGGTTACAGAAATTAAGTAATATCACATGGGTAGAATTGAAGCTGATGTCAGTAAAGAGAATGGAATATTAGTAGTTTTATGCAAGTATTCATTTTATTCTCCTAAATCATTTGTTTGAATTAATGTTGCCTTATTTTAAAAATAATCAAAGTCTAAAGCTAATGCTGCCTAAAATTATAGGCAAGAAACTATGTGACTTGTATTAATATGAAGTACTTTTGAGAGGAAATGTGTAATTTATGCAATGCTCTTTCCTACTTCTAGTCAAACTGTACAATAAAATAAAGGTGCAACATAATCCACAGAAAATATGAGTGGATTTTATCCTTTGCAGGAATACCTGTTTTACTTGAAGGACTCTGAATTCTGTTTTACAAGCTATTCTCAGGCAAAAAACTTTGGCTTCTATTATATCGTGTCTTAATACTCTTACTGTAGAGAGATAATATGGTAGTTGTCATGAAGATGCTCTTGTTTAGTGGGGATGGGTATCTTGCTTTTGCAGCACTTGACAAATAGTGCTAGATATATATGTCTAGAATCTAGCAAAATGTAAAAATACAGCAAATTTTCTTTTTCTGTTTTTTTTTTTTTTTTTTTATAATTTCAGGTTTCCTCTACATGACAAAGAAAGACTTGAAAAGTGGTTAAAGAATATGAAACGTGATTCTTGGGTTCCTAGTAAATACCAGTTCCTATGTAGTGACCATTTTACTCCTGACTCTCTTGACATCAGATGGGGTATTCGTTATTTAAAACAAACTGCAATTCCAACAATATTTTCTTTGCCTGAAGACTATCAGGTATTGGAGTGGGGGCGGTAATGCTGAGCATGGTGACACATCATAGGGTGGCAGGTGACACATCATAGGGTGGCAGGTGATGGGTACAGAGAGTAAGAGGGAAAGATAACTTTTGGGAAAATGAATACTTGAGGAAAAGGGACACTATTTTGCACTTTTACTAAAAGTAATGTAGTTTTTAAAAATTTAAATTGTGAAGTGTAGTTTAAGAAACAGAAGATAATGTATACAATCTTAAGTTATTAACATAAATTAATAATAAGTTAAGCTTTTTTGTTGGGTGTTTTAATGGTTTGAAATGTTTTATATATTGAATGTGCTTAATGCTTTTCAAAAAACATTTTAAGATATATTTAAATCATATGTTTAGAGTATTTTTTTTAACTAAACAAATGTGCTTGCCCAGCATAGTGCCTAAAGTTACAATTAAGTAGTCATGACTAATTAATAAGAGAATAAGTCTTTTTAGAATTTGAAAATATTATTTTCTAGGGAAAAGACCTCTCCAAAAAAAAATCTCAGAAGAAAAAATTGGAAGAGAAAGAAGTGTGCCTAAAAGCCAGGTCAGAAGAATCATTTACATCAAATGAGGCAAAGAATATTACAGTTAACACAGATGTACTTCCTGAACATGCAGAATTGCTTGATTCATCTGCCTTGGTGAAGCCAACAGCTCCAAAGCCAGGAAGCTTACAAAATAAAGTATTAACTCTTAATCTAGTTAAGCAAGACACTGAAAAACTGAAATCTACCCTGGAAAAATCAGTTAACCAAGATTTAGGTTTAAGAGGATTTCATACATCTTTTGAGAATCAAAATTCTACAACTATTACTTTGACAACTTCAAATTCAGAAGTTAGTCACCAGTCTTTGGAAAGCCAAGAAGTACTTGAAATAACAACCAATCATCTTGCTAATCCAAACTTTACAAATAATTCCATGGAAATTAAATCACAGGAAAATCCATTCTTATTCAGCACAGTTAATCAAACAGTTGAAGATATAAACACAAATAAACAATCTGTTATTGCCATTTTTGTGCCCACAGAAAATTCTAAACCTGTAGTTAATTCCTTTATACCTGCCCCCAAAGAAACCATGGAAATGGAAGACATAGACACTGAAGACTCCTTATATAAGAATGTAGATCATGGGGCAGAAGTTTTACAAATTGAACATTCTTATTGTAGACAAGACATAAATAAGGAACATCTTTGGCAAAAAGTCTCTAAACTACATTCAAAGATAACCCTTCTAGAGCTACAAGAGCAACAAACTCTAGGAAGATTAAAGTCTTTGGAAGCTCTTATAAGCCAGCTAAAACAGGAAAACTGGTTATCAGAAGAAAATGTCAAGATTATAGAAAACCATTTCACAACATATGAAGTCACTATGATATAAAGAAGTTTCAAAGCTAAACCAAATTTTTTTTTCCAGCTAAACCAAATTTCCTGTAAAGTGAACTTTTTCCTATATAATGTTCTCATCTTGATGAAGTTACAAAAGTGCTCTAATATCATGAACTGCATCCTATTCTTAAAATGCTCATTAATAAGAAAAATAGTTGTTGTGAAGAAGAGAAAAATAGTTATATTATTGGGTAGTTTCCCAAATTAAAATATAGTAAATAGATAATAAGTCAGTAATAGGAGACCAATGATATGGTCAAAACACCCCAAAATAGATGAGGTTGGTTCTACCACTGACACATGACATGACCAAAGTACTTATCAAGATTGTAAAATAATCCCTAATTTGTAAAATAAGGGCCCTTACTAGAACTCAGTCGGTTTCTTTGTAGTCCCTTCCCTTTGTATTTATTGATACTTTTATTAAAACAGTTTTTCTATAAGATTATATGTACTTATATAATAGAAATTGGGGAGAATTTGATATTCACTATTATTGCATTCTCTGACCTTTTAGCTATAGTTAGGTATCTTACATAAAGGAAAATATGGCTATTCTAATTTTTATTCAGTTGAACTCAGCTTTTAGGAGAGGTACCTTAAACTTGAAAGAATATATATTTCAGTACCTTATATATAGCAGACCGTGTTTAAGTCATTTAAGTTTTTTAACATCCTTATTTATAAAATTATATTTATAAACCAAAAATATAGGTTAATTTTAAATATATATGTATATTTTAGAAATTATAGTCTGTATCTATTTCTTAATAGGTATAGCTTTTAAAGTATATGCTTGTATCATTTTTTAAATCCAAAATAATAGAGTAATACTTTATTATATATTCCCACGTATGTATATTTTATTAAAATTTATAAGCAAATTATAGATAAGTGATGATGTCCTTAGGAAAACAAAGTTTTTCTCTTGGGAAAGAGAAGTGTTGGTGATATAAATAAAAATAAAGTTTATATCTGCATGAGCTAAGAAATATAAATGTAAAAGCAAAGTCGTTTTGGTAACAACCCAAATGTGAACAAGAGACAATATGTTCTTTAATATCTGTTAAAAATAAAAAATACTGCTATCTAAAAGGATGGTTTTGAGAATTCTATGAGGTAACACATAATTTTTGGACCTGGAAAATAGGAGGTGCTCAATAATTATTAGTTAACTGAATAGCTGATCATTTTGTTAATGAATGGTAATTATTTTTATTATATTTCAGTTTAAGTTTTACGCTAATAAAATTAATTGGTATTTGATAATGTGTTTGCTAATTATAAAAAAATCAGAACTATCTTATTAAATGACCATGGTGGGGAAAACTTAAGTATTCCCATATTGCATATTTCTGATACTTAAAGTGAATAGTACAGATAAAAATAACAAGTCACAAAATATTATTTTAACTTAGTTTAAACTTAATAAAGTATAAGTATTTATTTTCATGGCTTTCATATATACATATACACACATATACATACATACATACATATATATGCACATACTTGAATCACTAATACTGGAGGACTTGCGCTTTGTGCATGCTAGGCAAGTGCTCTACTGCGAAATTCACAACCCTTGCCTTTTTATAAATAATTGAAGATACTCTCAACCTAACCCAGCTAACCTCTAAATTAATATTTTCAGATTCTGGCCTACATTATTTCCTATTTGGACTATTACAGAAGCCTCTTAGCTAATCTTGCCTATGTTTTCAGTCTTCTATTTCCATATTATCTTGGATTCTGCTGTTATTTTTTTAACCTAAATTATAAATCTATCACCCACCCACCCCATAACTTCTAGCTCAGACATCTCACATTACTCACTAATACCTATAAGATAAAGCCAAAGTTATTACTGTTATATCTGATTCTCTGTAACTCTGTTTATCCTGTGATCTACCTACACTGAATTTCTTAGCATTTTGCAAGGATGCCAGACATGCATCTGTCCCTGTGTCTGCTTGCTTTATTCCCTCAACCAGTCTGTCAAAATTATATTTCAACATTGGTGGACTTTTTTCCTACCTGCTTATCTTCCAACCTGAGGATTTCATCACAAGCTTCATTGAGAAAATCAAAACAATCATAAAACACCCCTGATAGGGACTGAATTGTGGCCTCGTATACATATTTTGAAGCGCATCTATATTTGGTCATAGGGCATTTAAGGAATTAAAGTTAAATGAGGGGATATGGGTGGGGTCTTGATTCAAAGGGTTAGTGTGCTTACAGGAAGAAATACCAGGAAACTATTCTCCCTATATTGGGACACAGCTACAATACAGCAGTCTGCAAGCCCTCGTGAGAACCTGACCGTGCTTGGCAACCTGACTTCAGACTCCCAGGCTCCAGATTGGTGAGAAATTTTTGTTGAAAAAAGCCACCCATTGTATGGTATTTGGGCAGCCCAAGCTAAAATGCCTTTATAATCCAAAACAATGAGCTGTATTTGTTACAATGAATAAACCAGATCCGATGTATCAACATAAACCCAAACAGTATTCCAAAAAGAGTAAGTTGCAAAAGATTTGAAAACTGTGTACTGCTTATTTATAATTAAATACACAAAATAGTAATATAGATTGTGTTACTATATACATACTATATTGCATATGTAGCAAAAATAAAAGTACTGTTCAGTGGGGAGGCAAGAAGAGATGATGGGAGATTTTGTTTCATTTATTTTAAAAAGCTGAATAAAAATATCAAAATGTTAATATTTAAACAATGATAGATACACATCTGCTTTATTACTCCATGTTTTAAATGTCTCAAAGTTAAAAAAAAATTACATACTTTAGTTAAAATGACAAAAGGGTGTGTTACCCTTTTTATGAAATTAAAGATTTAAGGCTTCATTCTATTTTGCTATTGTTACTCTCTGGTTTAAGACCAGAGATGTGGATGGAGGGAGAATACATAGTGAAAGAATTGATTTGAAATCAATAAACATGTATTTGTTAGAGTAATGCTGTTCCCCTCCAAAGATGTAACATGTGGATGTTATCTCACATGGTAAAAGGTACTCTACAGATGCAATTAAGGTTACAGACCTTGAGATGGGAAGCTTATCCTGTATTATCTAACTGGATATAGTCTGATCATGAGTCCTTTAAAGGTGAGAACCTTTACGCATGAAGTCAAAGAAATGCACATGAAACCCAACTCATCTAACTAGCTTTGAAAATGGAAGAATAGACTGCAAGCCAAGGAACATGGCAATATCTAGAAGTTGGAAACAGCTCTCAGTTTATAGCCAATAAGAAAATGATAACTTAAGTCCTACAACCAAAGGGAACCAAATTATGCCAACAATTCAAATAAACAAGACAGTTTCTCTCCTAGAGACTTTAGAAAGGAACACACTCTGCCAACACCTTGATTTTAGTCTAGTGAGACCCATACCTGGTATCTAACCTATAGAACTATAAGGAATTTATGTTGTTTCAAGCCACTAAGGTGAGGTGATTGTTAACTCAGCAATAGTAAAATAATATGGTCACAATCTGAGATTCAACTTTATTTACTTAGTTTACTGAGGACTCAGCTTTTTTACTGAAATACAAGTAGTGCTTTATTCAGAGGTTGTATTTAATAACATCGCATATGCAAATATGATTTGTAAACTAAAAAGCTATAGAAATGCCAGCTAGTAACATTGTTGTTTGATTACTCTTTGTAATGGTCTTAGATTAAAAACCAAAAAATATATTTGTATTCTTGTGTTTATACATACAGACTTTATTACTGTTCTCCTCTGAGAATGAAAAAAAAAATTGTAGTCATTCCTCAATATTTTGCTACTGTGGAAACTCACAGTCATGATCCAGATATGAGAACTGGCTAGAGAAATTCAACTCTTGTCACTAAGGCAAAAAAAAAAAAAAAGGTCACAGATTTGCTACTAAAACATGCATTCTAAAACCAAGATTTCCTAAATTATAGAATTAGAAAGTTTCAAACTCTGTGAGCCTCCTAAAAATTATCAGAGTATTTTTCAGAATTTGTATGGAAGGAAGTAGGGAAGATAAGATGAATGGATGGCTGAAAGAGAGGAAGACTCCATAAAAGGAAGGAAAGGAGAAGGGAGGGAGGAAGGAAAGCAGATGGACATATAAATGTATTTGGTTTGACAACTGTGCTTTCCTAGGAAATAGCTCAAGACTGTGAAGGAGAAATCAGGTGAAGATTCTTCCTCAATCCCCTCAATCTGCAGGAGCAGAAGAGGAAATCATCTTTGTGAATTGAGAGTCTGGATTTCTAACCCTCATTTTAGTAAGACTTTCATTACTAATGGATCTTCATCAGTTACAAGATGTCAAGAAACAATTAGTGTTTGAACATGCTCGTTGCCAAATCCAGATTTGTGGCAATACAAAAGATACTATTATAGAGTTTTCTCCCCAAATTTAGAGCATGTTTTTGCCAGCAAATGAATTCATTCCCACCATTGCCATGGCACATGTGTGAGATTTCAGCCAATGATCAAAGCAAGTCTAATCATGCTAAAGATTTGAATTAGGGTTCTTTCTGCTGTCAGAAAGTCCAGTTCAGGAAGGGGCATAAGGAAGACTAAATAATCTTAACAAGAATGGCCCAAGAATCCAGAGATAGTAGTTGTAGCTCAGCTGTGCCTCATGATAATTGCCACTGAGAAACATCTAAAAGAGCAAGCAGTTCCTTCATGGCAACTACCTCCTAAAGGGCATTTGTTCCCCATCCCCGCTCCCAGCCAAATCTTATAATCTGAATTCATAAACAGGGTCCCTGGGTTTGACTACCTTGTGTACTTTAGCTTTTTGAATTCCAATATTAATTAGTTCAGTCATTCTGTTTTTCAATTCCAAATTCCCAACAGAATGATCCACTTGACCCACTGTACATTTTTAAATGGGTGAAACTCTAGTAAACCTATGAATTGGCATCACTTGAGTCAAGTCTTATAGGTTGCAGTTGCATCCAGTAAATAGGGTGGGGAAGGGTCACATGGAACAAAAGAGACCATGCTACCTCACTAAAACTTTGAGTAGTAATTTACCTTGGAGGTAAATTACTACTCAAAGGTAAATTATTCAAAGGAGGCTGTTGGATGGCAACCAGCTAACTTCTTTGGTTCTGTGCAGCAATAAAATATGAACTACATATGATGATGTTTGTATAAATTACCTTTCCCCTGATAGCAAGTTCCTCTAGCTTCATCCTTCCCTGAGCTTGTAACAGTCCACTAAAACACTTCTCTATTCTCACAGAAGAACCGGGCAATACCAAAGTAGTTTTAAAGCTAATAAAAACTAATAAACTAAATAGTTCTAATATAAAAGCTACTATCCTCCCCAAGTTTGAAATAAATAACCTGAAAATGTTAATAGAAAAATATATATATTTGATATTTCAACAAAACTAGCTCTAAATATTGATCTCATTTTATTTACAATTTATCATAGAAACCTTAAGGACAATCTGTTACCAGTGATTTTGTTCCAAGTTTCTAAAGTTTAGCTTTTTGATAGTGTCTCTGTAGCATATAACACAAATAGTATACAATGTCTAATATGGTAACCCATTGTTCTCCTGCATCATTAGTAAGTTTGTCTTCTTCCCATGAATTCTATATCTTCTGGTGTTAGTAGAGAAACATTTTCTTATATTTTCATATTACAGAGAATTCATTTTCTAAAATAGATATTTCTGGATCCTACACCTTTGGCTATAATATTGCCTCTATCTCATATATCTGTGGTGTGAAATTAACTTGTTAAAGTTCTAACTTTTCCATGTATGATTGTATTTCTCTATTCAATTCCTTCTTTAGGTATTATAGTACAGAACCATATTTTTGTCAGCATTGCATACATTCAAAAAAATCTATCTGATTGCATACACTCAAGTAATGAAAACAAATGAGTATTTCACTTTAGAAACAAACTGACCAATTCTAAAGTATATGAAAATTTAAGTGTTCTTATAAATATATTCTAAACATCTATGTATATTTTAACTTGGACAATATTTAACGAAATGTATAAATTATGTTGTGTGAACTCTCAACATATTATTTCCCATACTTAATCTATTTTGGTGGG